GCACCAACAAAGTTTGTACAGTACCTTGGTCGCATCTTAACTGACGAATTGGTCCGCGAATGGAAATGGCAGCGCGTAGTGCATTAATGAAGGAGAAGATCATCAAACATCTCGATGTGCACTGCTCTAGAAGCCATTCAGGTAAGCAAACTGTAAAAAAAAAAAAAAATTCAAGGCAACATGCTGCAATACATTTTTGAGTCAAGCTAGTCAACTCAATTACAAAAGTTCAACAAACCTATAGACAGAGGTTCAGCTAACTTTGACTTAAGAGTTAAGGCGACACTGTAATACAAGTTAGCTTAACCTAGGTACAAAGTTTCAATAAACTTAGATTGTTAACTTGTCAACACTATTTTGCAAGTTTGATTAACATAGGTACAGAGGTTTAGTCAACTTGGTGACATTTTAAGAGTTAATGTTTTCATTAACTTTTTTAAATAGTAAGATTGCCTTGTTTAGAGTACTAAAAAACTTCTATTACCATTAGAACCTACAGGCTAAAAAGGAAACATTGGATCAACTTAAAATATTACTTAATTTTTTCAAACTTTTTTCAAGTTTGGTTAATATAATTTTTTCAAGTCAGTTCAACTTAAAGTAGTCAATCTAATACATTAGATTTTTTGCACTTAAAACCAATAAAACTGCTCATGCTCAACTAATGAATATAATTTGAAACAACTAAATAACCCAAAAGCCAGTTTACTGAGACAGTCCACTTTATTACAAGACATTGTTGCATCCTTGCATAAATAGCTATAAACAAGATACAGTGGCCAGAAACAGTACCTTTTGTTTTTAGACCACAACTTGGGATGGGGGAACAAATCAAATAATTTTGCTCATTTAGTATTCGGATTTTTATTAAGCTTAATTTTTAGAAACCCACCACGATCGAGGATGGTATGGCACTGATATTGGTCTTAACCACATGTAATTACAAGTTCTTTGTGGTTGATGAATGCTAATTGGTCTGAGTGGTGTAGCTTTTATGTATATACATCCCCAAGGAAATCTTACTATTACGCTTTGCAGCACATTCTGTTAAAATCAATATATCAATTGTAGAAGTACATATGGTCTCAATGCATTTCCTAGGGAGTCTAGGCTGAGCATGGAAAGAAAGCAGATTATTTTCCATAGCTTTTTCTGATGCCTTCTCTAAACCGCAGAGGCTACTCCATCTCACCTAATCACTGGCAAGCGCAAGTTTTTGTTCTCTTGCCCTATTCATCACAATCACAGTGGATTAAAAAAAAAAAATCTTAAGTCAAAGACAGTACTGTATCATGTTATGCAAATATACATCCAGCACCATTGGTCTAAAGGGGAGTGGGTGGTACCAGGAGCTGCACAGAAAAGGGTATCCCAACTGTCCTAACACCTTTCTGCATATGTTAATCATCCAAGGGCAGGACCTGCAACCAAATGCACTGCTACAACATTAAAATACATACCATTCTGGAGACATGGCCAGTACATCTCCAAGAGTTTTTCCTCTGACTTGACGTCAACATGCTATAAAACCACCAGAACCACAGCTCTCGAATAAGTCAGAACTGAGCCAGCAAAACTTCAATATCAAACAAGAAAAAGCTGTAAGTCTTTTTCATGTCGGTGGGTAAACCTGGGATGGCTCTATTGATCCTCATGACTTGTGCGCATATTAAAATGGGGCAGCTAAGAAACTGAAGTTGAACACATTACAGAAAAGAATCAATCAATCCTATATGAAAATTTTTGGTCAAACCAGCTACACCCTTGTGACACTTTTTTCTGTGGGTTCTAATGATAATATAAGTTTTTTAGTACTCTAAACAAGGCAACTTGAAATATTACAGTTGAATCTTGCTATTTAAAAAAATTAATGAAAACAGTAACTCTTAAAATGTCACCTAAACAAGGCAGGTTTATTTAAATTTAATTTGACTCCTCAAACAAAGTTGACTATACCTCTGTACCTATGTTAATCGAACTTGCAAAATAGTGTTGATAATTTAACAATCTTTTTATTTATTTTATTGAAACTTTGTACCTAGGTTAATCTAACTTGTATTAGTGTTGCCTTAACTCTTAAGTCAAAGTTAGCTGAACCTCTGTCTATAGGTTTGTTGAACTTTTGTAACTGAGTTGATTTAACTCAAAAATGTATTTCAGCATGTTTCCTTGAATTTTTGAGTTGGCTGAACATTTTTTTTTTACAGTGAGTAATGGTACAGGATTTCTGCATCCATTTAAAGTGTCCTCGCTGTAATTATATAGTGTAACAGTAAATGATACATAATGACAGTGTCCTTTTACAGAGAATATCCTCTCTACAGTATATTTATACAGTGTAACAGTAATGGTGCAAGATTACAGTATCCATTTACAGTGTGTCCTCTTTGTAATTACATAGTGTAACAGTAATTGGTACATAATTACAGTATCCATTTACAGGGAGTGTCCTCTGTAATTATACACTGTAACAGTAAATAGTACATAATTATAGAGTGTCCTCTCTGTAATCATAATGTGTGACAGTAATGGTACATGATTACAGTATCCATTTACAGTATGTCCTCTCTGTAATTGAACAGTATTATGGGAATGGTGCATGATTATATTATCCATTTAAAGTGTGTGTCCTCTCTTTGGTTATACAGTGTCACAGTAATAGTACATAATTACAGTGCTGATTTACAGTGTACGTCCTTTCTGCAGTTGTAAAGTGTAACAGTAATGATATATGATTACAGTATCCATTTACACAGTTTGCTCCCTCTCCAGCTCTCTGTTGACATCAGGGGTGAAGTGTCATACAGCTCAGTAACTCGAGTTCCATGCCATCAGATGTACTGTTAAATGCTATAAATGTTAAATGTTCCTTTCATGTTAAATGTTTGTTTATGCTTTTCGTGCCCATGATCAGAGGCATTATTTGCAGTTTTCTTGCATTAACTACTATCTGCCTGCAGTGTGATTAAAGTAGTTTTGTGATATTGGCTCCTGGTGAAGTTCAAGGCAGTCCTGGAAATAAGTGTATCCATGCCTACAGAAGTTAACCTGAAAGGGATTCTTGTACAATCGGAGATGGAACTGCTGGTTGGACAGGTCATCACCTACTTTTCTCAGCTATTGTACGTCTGCTTCTAAAGATTGAAAGTGCTTAATATGTATTAAACCATTTTATAATGTGCACACAAAATGAGCTTGTAATATCTTCGCATTTTATGTACCCTAGAATGCTCATATGCATTTTATTCTCCTTCGATTGGAGGGCAACAAGATATAACAGAATTTGATGATCCAGGTTATCAGCACCACGGACAGCATCGACTTACTGTCACTTAGAATCAGAATTCACTTTGCCAGAATTCACTGGCCAGGTACATCTGCATGTACTGGAAATTTGTTTTGGCAATATTGGTACATACATTTATAGACAATATAGAAAAAAAAATTAAGAAATAAAAAAATACAGTGGTACCTCAGAACTTGAACTTAATCTGTTC